ACTAGCAATTTCTTCAGAAATTGCATTCTCTAGTTTGTTCTGGAAATGTCATTTTCGAGCCTGAGACCTGAAAAACAGGCTTGGGGCTTAACAGGTTAAAGGAGAGGTGTCATGCTTTTCCGGTTATTACCCGTCCCCTTGTGTGTTATGAAGGTTTTTATGCATGTAAATGGTGTGCATAGTCAAAACCCTCAAAGTACACCCTGTAGCGAGTAAAACTCTAACACAGAAAATACCTCCCCAAAACGCCTCGTTGGAGATACGTCACTGTCCATTTGATTCTTCCGGGAACAAAATGGACCAATCCGGAAGAGCTATGGCCACACCCAGCGGCGCTGGCCGCACCCTCTGCCAGCCTAACATTTACTGTTGGAAGCTCTGGTTCAGTTCACAATCTATCCAGTCATGCCAATGCCAAGGACCTGTTTCCTGAAATGTGAGGGGAAATCTGAGCTGTTTCTCCTACCGACGGAAGAACCACGACGAAGTCAGTGGTTGAAATTTCTGTTTAACACTGTTCCTTCAGAGGTTCGAAGAACGTTACTGTGTGCGCGGCATTTCACAGACGAAAGCTTCCAAAACATTGCCCAGTTTGAGGCCAGATATGCACAGCATTTGAAACTGAAGGACGATGCTATTCCTAGTTTGTTTGGACCGTTTGGAGCAGGGGAAGATTCAGGTACACAACCTGTAAGTTTGCATTGTTATTTGTGTATTTATCAAACAAGGTATCTACCACGACTGTTTAACCGTGTAAACGTGTTTCGGACTGCTAAGCCATTGACACAGTGCTAACTGGGCTAACTAAGTTGCTAGCATTTCCATATATCAACTCCAATATCAGCAGATGGCCTTACATACATGTATCTCATAGCAGGAGAATGTCTGCATTCACACACGAAATACTCATAGACAGTATACTCCGGGTGATTTACCGTACGGTCAGTCGCGAAACGTAATTACATTATAGCTGGCGTTCCTAGCGTGTATGCTACCGAGCTAAACAACGGAGCTAGACATGAGTTTGCTCGGGAAAACATTGTTGTTATGCCAGCTACAATGAATGTAGCAGACTACCCGTATAAGATTGCAATTGTAAACATGTTCTTGATAGCCTAATATGAACCACTATCTGTTGTTCATAGTATAGTATAGTATAGTATAGTAGCCTATAGCATATTACACTGAACAACTAGCAAACGTAGGTTAGCATTGTAATCCAGCTGGCAAGCTGACGAACATAAAATGACTAAGTTTCAATAATATTTTGAGATTGGCACTTCATTTCGTTAGGAATGTCTCCCAAACAAGGTATCTACCACGACTGTTTAAATGTGTAAACGTGTTTCGGACTGCTAAGCCATTGACACAGTGCTAACTGGGCTAACTAAGTTGCTAGCAACTCCAATATCAGCAGATGGCCTTACATACATGTATCTCATAGCAGGAGAATGTCTGCATTCACACACGAAATACTCATAGACCAGCGACGTGCAGTCAGGGGAGGCAGGGGAGGCAGAGCCTCACCTGTCATACTCCGATGTAACGGAAAAACAACTAAAGAAAAACTAAATAGTAATAATAATAAAATGTCTCCACTGATCTGTGTTGTAAGTGTGATTTATGTATGATTCCAATCGCTTTTTATAGTCAAAATCAGCAAATTTGCCGAGCTCCGCTACGGGAGCGATGAGAAGTGAGGCAGGGACGAGCTCTGCCTCTCGTAAGCCCACAGTAACTTGCTGGAGCGCGGGCACTAATTTAGAGCGGGCACTTATTTTGTGAGCGCGCTCAAGCCAGTTACTGTGGGGTAAGGTGAGGCACAGATGAGCTCTGCCTCACCTCAGAATGCGTCACCCAACAGAAACTGGCTGGAAAGCGGGCCCTAAGCGCATGCCTGTTACCATCTCACTGTAGGTCACCAATGTAATGTTTGTAGATCCCTTTATTACATTTATCCTCGCCATCCATAGTCTCTAAATAACTTATTTCACGTATATATGATATTTAGGCTCGCTGGTCTCATCATACAACAGCAATGAAAAAAGCACCAGGGGAGGCAGCCATAACCTCTGCCGCACTGAAGGGGGCGCACGTGAGCCCACAGGTTCTTGTTGCTACTGTAATTCTACGCAGAGACGGTAGACGCAAACAACAAACTAGACTTTTGAAACTACAGGAAGATAAGGAGGACTTTTACAAAAAAGTAATAGAGATTGTTGTCCAGAAGGATAGCATGGACTTCATCTTCAAGTCAAGGTAAGACCACATTTGTAATGAAAATGGGATCTTACTAAGAAAGAACAATCCAATATTTAGATTTTGGGTATCCTTTTGTTGAACGGTCTGTTTAAAATGAATCGAAGCATCAGACTAAAAAAAGCTTTTGAAAATAACCGAATATTTCGATTAAGGTCAAAATATAATATTTGTAAATCTGACTCAGTGAGTCAGTGCCTCACCAGCCATGAACCTCACCGCACGTCACTGTCATAGACAGTATACTCCGGGTGATTTACCGTACGGTCAGTACATTATAGTTGGCGTTCCTAGCGTGTATGCTACCAAGCTACCGTTCATAGCGTGTATGCTACATAGCTAAACAACAAGGCTACCTAGAGCTAGACATGCTAGGGAAAACATTGTTTTCATGCCAGCTACAATGAATGACCGAACGTAGCAGACTACCCGTATAAGATTGCAATTGTAAACATGTTCTTGCTAGCCTAGACTAGCTGTTGTTCATAGTAGATTGGCATATTACACTGAACAACTAGCAAACGTAGGTTAGCATATTAGCTGGCAAGCTAACTGTGTTGATTAGATAGATAGATTAGATAGATACACACTCCTACCACAACTACTACTAACGACACTAAAACAACTAAGTTTCTCTAATATTTTGTTATTTGCATTTGATTTCGTCCAGCCAGATCAGGAAACTCCTGGCGTATCTGGCGGACAACACACACACGGGATGACCCACTCTGATGCCTCGTCCTAAAAAGCCCCGACAGCCGCTTACAAAGCTGCGATAGACAAGATGCCAAAAACGCCTATAAGGGGAGGAATGGATGATATACAGTGTATATATGTATATTTACGCATGTTCATTTTGTACATTTCTAAAAATAAAGTTTGATGGAAATACTTAGTAGGCCTATCCTTTCTTCCCTGAATTATTTGCTCCTATAACATATCATTCATATATAGCAAACCATGATTTGATTTCTCATCAAACAGTAGTAGTTTATTACAGGTAAAAATAACTTACTCTTCTATAACAACAGTTGTAGACAGTTCGGTTAGTTAGCGTATAAAATATACGGCTGTACCGAGGCCATTATAAGACTGTTGTTCCGCTGAGAGCGAGCCGAAAAAAGCACTGTTAGACATGGGCGGAGCCTCTCTGGTGGTTGACTAATCAGAACAGAGTGGCCGAGCTGACCAATTGGAGCACACCAGTGGCGTTTTCTCCCGGAGGCCAAGGGAAGCCAGGCTTCCCCTGTTTTTTCGGATTGTAGTTATAATTTAAATAAATAAATAAAAACACTTTGTTTTGTTTCGATAATTCTCCTTTGCTGTTGCTGCCGGCCCGTCTCTCCCCCACTCTCATTGAGTATTTTACAAAGAAAGAGTGAAACAAACAGCGCCCCTCTCTAGATGTTATGGTGAAACAGTAGATTGCATTCACTGTTGCGAGAGGAGGCCAGGGGAATCTGGCTTCCCTTGGTGAGGGATTGACCAATAAGATGAGGCCCACGTGATGCCCCTGCCAACCTGTGATTGGTCAGGGCCATGCCAAGGGAAGCCAGCCGTCTCTAGCTTCCCTTCAGAGGCCCGAAGTTAAGTAAACTGATATAAACTCCCCAAACAGGTTTTAAACTTTGAATCAAATCCTGTAAATCCTGAAAATCCTGAAAATCTCCGCTCTGCTGACCACAATGCACTGCAGTTCGGATAAAAGTGAGGCAAAGTGGCTTCACCCCATTCAAACCCTTCTTTTTTATTCATTACCGAATCTGCACTGCGCATTGAGCGGCTGGTATTGCATTTGGGGGGGGGGGGGGGGGGGGGCGTGTCTGCATAAATTAACCCAACCCAAAAAAATGGGCTTCCCCTAAATTTTTCCCCACGCCACGCTACTGGAGCACACTAGGCTCACAGGGAGGGGGGGGCAAGAGCTCCAACGAGCCGTTTAGTGGAGAGAGTGAATACTGCTGAATACACATACTTTACAGAGATGCTGTATGCGAAACCAATGTGAGTTTGGGAAATTGCACAGTATAAATCTATTTTAGTATACCTCAACAATGGAATTATGATCAGTGGAAATGGCCATGACACCTCTCCTTTAAGGTATGGTCTTGATAACCTCATCATGCTAACATTAGTCTCACGGCATTTCGTGTTATAGTCATAAATAAAAGAGCCAACATAATCTAATTTATCTCGTGAGACAGTTATATCACGTACAGTAGTGGCACTGGCTTGTGCCTCATTAAAACATATTCCGAACAGCTTTTGGCAGAGGCATATGAACCATGGATGTACTCTAACTTTGAACAGTTCCGCCTTAGCGACACATTCATGGTGACATATGCGGATATGGATCCTGGAATGAACGTGGTTCATTTAGGAAAGTAGTGTTAATATGACCATGTGATTAGAGCAGTTGGAATTAAACGAGGGAGGATAGAGCTGTGATGTTGTATTAACATTTACTACACACATACATATTGAGACGGCTTTGGTTATTAGCTAGCAATAACATATCTCCATGGCAACCAGTGTAAGTTAGTAGCTAGCCTAACATCTGAATGAAAGCGTGTTCTACATGCTGTTACAAACACACTATCTGCTATATATGCCCTCTGTCACTGTCAGTCGTCATCCTTTACAAGACTCTGCATGGTCACTTTTCATTGAAGCTTTGGGTTGGAGCAATGCTAGCACTGAGTGTACACTTAAGGTTAACTGGCTTGCTGTTGTCAACTCACCCGTTTTCCAAAAGGGTTTTCATCGTTGCTTTTCGGCGACATGGAAGACCAGAGCACCACCAAACCAAGGAAGGTCCCAACAACAAGCAGACTCCGCAGAATAAAGCCTACTTTCAGCCTCATGTTGGAGAAACAGCTAAACTAGATTAGATGCTGCTGCTAGCAGGGGCTAACCGGCTGGCAGCTATCGACTAGCTTTAGTTCTCTGCTTAGGTTGTAAATTTGAACACGGCTGGCACTACCTCGACGACATGCCGTGACTTTCAGCTAAATAATATGTTGCATTCCTCCAGGCTGACTCCTTCCTCTTCTGGTGTAATTCCTGTCTCCGGCTTCCTGACACTTCTCTGCTGCTGACACGGCTCCAGCGATCAGCCCACCGCAGCTCACTTCTGCCCACCCGCCTGTGGCAGCAATAAATAACGTTAGAAAAATTGTTTCCTGATATATCAATTATTCTGTAATATGTTCAGTATATTTCTTAACTTCCGAATGTAAGATATTCATATGTTGTCCCCGGCGTTTGTCTCGCCCATACACTCTCAGATATTAAAGCTGGCTGGGTGTGGAAAGACAAACAAGAGGTCTTTCAGGTTTATCAAACTACAGGTCCGGGTCACCAACTGCGGGCTGAGGCTCATTGTTGCAACCGCAACGCACGTCATGCTGTTGTAGTGTTAAACATTTAGAGATGTAATGATTACCATGGAGGGAAGATAGGGGCACGCAGGATATGGCAATTTGACATATAATGAGAATGATGCAAATGAGGCAATATCACCATAGGCTACGGTGCATTTGAGACTTCCCCATTTCAAAGAAAAAATCTGAGATTTTCCATTAAACTTCATATTCAGAAATGGATGTTGGTCAAGCTCCCACACTTTTTATAAATTAACTGCAAGTACATGCAAACAGCAAAATGTATCCACCCTGTCATGGACAAACTTCAGAGAGTAAATACATTGTAATTACATAGTGATTATAAAATATATTTTCAGAAAGCTATAGTCCCTTTCTCAACAATATATTTCAGTTAATGGAAAAAGTATTTGGATAATAATGAAATTATGGCAAACTATGTGTACCATGTTGTAGGAGTCGGGATGACTGATAATTTATTCCGGCAAATTACTCAGACCTACTAATTAACCTAACAAGTTATTGAGTCTATGTAAGTTTACTGCTTGGCTCAGATCCATCAACGTCAGCAAGATCTCACCTCTATTAACTCCTGAAGAACCAGGGTCAATTAACTGCTGTTTCAATTCAGACGACCCTCTAAATCTGTTTAAGCAATCCCGAAGGATTTTGATATCAGTAAATGAGGTGTGGCCCTATACTAAGTGTGAGTGAGGCAGTGTGCAATCTTACCTTTTAAGCAGGAGAGGAGAGCGCAGATGTCTTTTAAGTTGTCCCAATCCAAAAGGTGGGATCAGTTTATTTGAAGAAAAATAGGTCCAAACGTATAAAGGGTTTTTACCTTCTCTCTCTTTACAACATTATAATCATACTAAACCTATCATGCTGTGATCATGTTCTAATATGAAACTTTAATTCACAGTTTTACATTTATTACCCTAAATTGTAACTTCAACTGCCCAATTCAGTTGTGACATTTAAAATCGTCCGATAGAATTTAGAGGCATTTCCTCATAAATGACCGGTGATAATAAAAAGCACATTCAAACTTTCATTCAACAAATCAGTTCATTTGCTCATTTCCACATTTGTATACTTCAACTAGTCCCGCATGAATTCGGAGGACCTTTCCTCACAGGTGGCAGGGTACTAACTTTCAACAAACATCAATTCATTCCACTCATTTCACAAAGAAATTCACTCAGCATTCAACAAAGAAATTCGAGAGATATTTACCAAGTTTGAGAGAACCTTACCGAGAGCAAAAACCCAGCTCTCCAGGGAGAGAGCTTTTACCGGAGATGCGAGAGCAGACAAGGGGAATATGAGAGAGAGAGAGAGAAGACGAGAGGAGAGAGAGGAGAGAGAGAGGAGAGAGAGAGACGGAGAGAGAGAGAGAGAGAGAGAGAGAGAGGGGAGAGAGAGAGAGAGAGAGAAGAGAGAGAGAGACAGAAGAGAGAGAGAGAGAGAGAGAGAGAAGAGAGCGAGAGAGAGAGAGAGAGAGAGACAGAGAGGAGATCTATATTATCTTCTCTATCTCATATCTCTCTCTCTATCTCTCTTCTATCTCCTCTCTCTCTCTCTCTCTCTCTCTCTCTCTCTCTCTCTCTCTCTCTCTCTCTCTCTCTCTCTCTCTCTCTCTCTGCCAGTGTCTTTATGCTCAAAAACAGGATAGAAAAAGCTAAAGACACCTCCTCCATACCCATATTTGTGGAAACTGGGCATGGCCTCTGATGTACAGTGTTACGGTTTTGTATTTATGTTTTCATTTTCCACCTTTGTTTTGAAATGTTTTCCTCCTTGGGCCGTTCTCATTTCATCAAATTCCCCTCCTCGACTCCTATCCTCAAGACTTAGTCCCGCCCACAGGAGATGCGAGCGGAGGAGCCGAGGAGGGGAACCGAGGAGAGAGGAGGGGAAGCAGCAGGCGGTTAGAGAAATGAGAATTCCTCTCCTCTGAGCGGTCATTTTAAAGAGACGTCCATTAATGATGACAGGAGGCACAGCATCATGGACAGATGTGTTCATGACGACTTATATATTTACTTTTAATTCATTGACAGTGCGGTATAATGAGACAATAACAGGCTACAGATGCGCACGCGCACACACACACACACACACACACACACACACACACACACACACACACACACACACACACACACACACACACACACACACACACACACACACACACATATATATAAATATATACAATTTCAGAATCAAACAGAGCACTCTCATAATAACGTAACACTATCAGAGACTGGATATATCCCCCCCCCCCTCTCTGGTCGCTACAATGAGGAAAATAAATTACGGGCCAAAAGTTTTATTTACAAGTATTAAAAGTAAGCAGAGGACACCAAACCAACTGAGACCTGTCTGTCCGCCACATCTACGCACACACTGTACCACACACACAGTGGCGGCTCCAGAGTATTTGTGTTGGGTAATCTATGGTAGGGCTAACCCATACAGTGGTGGGGCTCAAGTCAGTATTTGCAATGTAATACATACACGCTATATCGCCCCCCTTGACAGTGAAACGCCACGCGTGAGGTTTAGATTATTTCCCTGTCTCAATCCAAATTGAACTGTATGAAATAAAAAGGCACATTTGTCTTGTAGTAAATAAAAAGGGCGACCTGGAGCCAATCCTGCAATTTCCCCACAGGTGAAAGAGTTGACATGCTGAAAACCCAACCCCTGCAGGGGGGTCTGGGGAGATTTTTTGAAATACTAACATAAAATACACATTCTGGTACTCTCTTGAGAAGAAAAATAAATAAATCTATTACTACATATTTAAAAAAATGAATGCCATTTTTGTTTTTTGTTACTTTGTTCTGAAAGCTGAACCTGCTGCTGAAAGGGGAAGAGGCTGTGTGAATTACATTGTGGATAAGGGTGGATAGCCCCCATTGTTCTGTGTGTCAAAATGAAAGACAGCCCACACACCTATCAATCATCAAACCGTGGGGTCTTATTTCACGTAATGTTGTATCGATGTATAAAGATGTACTACCGCTAAACTATTCTCCGTCTGTACTTCCTGCAACAACACCACGCCGTTATCGTGATTCTGATTGGCCAGAAGACATTATCAAAGATGTTTTATTGAGAAGAAGATCACTACGTGACAAAAGTTTTCAAAACCGTTTCTAGTCTTCGGTATTTCCAGACAAGTGGCTACTGAAATCAATCTTACTAACTGCTGTCTGTGCAATTTACTCCGTGCGAGTTGACGGACTTTATTTTGCTTACTTTAACACCATTTTTCATGGTGGGGCTAAGGTGGGGCTAAGCCATTTCTTGGTATGGCTGTAGCCTACCCCAGCCATACCCTGGCGTCGCCACTGCACACACACCTACACCACACACACGCACCTACAGCTCCTAAAGCATATAATCAGGCTACAGCCGTTGTGTATTTTATTATGTGAAGCACTAAATGGTTTTAGAAAAATATCGACTCTTTGTTTGTAGATATCTACTAAACTAAAGCAAATAAAGAGAGTAGGCCTGTTATACTGAGTGATATATATTATACACACTGCTCTGCTTTTTGCACGGACCTCACAGCTGTTCTCACTGTAAACATCGCGTCGCGATGAAAGCAGTTAATAAAATAATATCCAGGGGATGCATGCAGAGCTGTCATTGGCTGAGATAAGTCCGGCCGTGCGTCACGACTCTTTGAAACATCTCTGTTCCCGGAAATGCATCCACGAAGGAGCCGTGGAGGACCGTGGAGGACCCATCAGTGTATCCTCGGTTATAGCTCCTCCAGAGAGCCTCCTCGACGCTCGATGCTCGGTCCTCGATGTGCATTTAGAGAAATGAGATGTCCTTCAACATGGCGCGCTAAAATTCATTTCCGGGTCACTACCGGAGGACCGAGGAGTCGAGGAGTCGAGGAGGGGGATTTGATGAAATGAGAACGGCCCCTTGTGTCTTCTCTGTTCCTTCTTCCTGTGTTTGCCTTCCTGTCGTTAGTTTCCCTGGTGTGTCTGATTGTCTGATTGTGTTCACCTGTTGCCCTTGTGTTTCTGCCTCCCTTACCCCAGCTGTGTCTTGTCTTGTGATTACCCCTCTCTGTATTTAGTCTTGTCTTCCCCTGTGTGCCTTGTCGGTTCATTGTTGGTTTCTCCTGTCTCCCTCCATGTTGGTCACGATTATTCCTAGTGCTACCCATGTTATCCATGCCATGCTTTTTTTCTCATCAGCTTTGTAAATAAAGCTCATTTTTTGTTTCTAGACCTGTTACCTCTTTTTGTTCTGCATTTGGGTCCTACCGTTTCCACGCTACCTAACAGAATGAACCGACCAGAAATGGACCCAGCAGACAGCTTGTACGAGGTGACGTACAATTTAACATGCTTGAGGAATGACTTTCGATATGCCTCCAGTAGTGAAGAGAGGCAGTCTATCATTTCTACGGCACGCCAAGAAGTAACCTCAAGGCCCTGGTTAAGGGAGTTACTACCCGAGTGGATTGAGGACTTTTTTGGTAGCGTTGAGGTCAAACCTGTTTCCTGGCCTGCTAGCCCCAGGCATGCTAGCCCCCTGCCTCCCAATTCCCAACCTGACACCATGCATCTCGGTGTGTTCCGTCTGGAGTCAACCCCTGCTTCTTCCCCATTTCCTGCTCCTGTCCAGGAGCCGTTCTCGGGTACTCGTCTGGCTTTTGGAGGTCCAAGGAGTCTCCAAAAGGCTCATAAGAGAAGGAGTCGCAAGTCCAGGCTAGCAGCCCGAGCCCCAGAAGCCATGCTTTGGGCTCCAGTACAGGCCCCAGCAGCCATGGTTCCGGCTTCAGTACCAGCCCACACAGCCATGGTTCCGTGCTCCAGTACCATCCCACACAGCCATGGTTCCGTGTTCCGGTTCCGTGCCCAGCAGCCATGGTGCCTGCTCTAGTACCGGCCCACACAGCCATGGTTCCGGCTCCGGAACCGGCCCACACAGCCATGGTTCCGGCTCCAGAACCGGCCCATGCAGCCATGGTTCCAGCCCCAGTTCTGGCCCCAGCAGCCATGGTTCCGGCCTCTGTTCCGGTCCCAGCAGCCATGATCCCGACTCCAGTTTCGGCTCCAGTACTGGCTCCCCGGCCGACGCCAGCCCCCCGGGCTTTGTCAGCGGTTCGGCCCACTCCAGCCCCTCGTGTCCTGTCGGTGGTCCGGCCGACTCCAGCACCTCGTCTCCTGTTGGCTCTACGGCCGACGCCAGCCCCCCGTGTCCTGTTGGCTCTACGGCCGACGCCTACCCTATGTCCTGTGCCGTTGGAGGTCCCCGCCGACTACTCTTCTGCCGGGGGTCTTGCCAACCCTATGTCCTGTCCTGTTGGGGGTCCCGCCGACTACTCTTCTGCCGGGGGTCCTGCCAACCCTATGTCCTGTGCCGTTGGGGGTCCCGCCGACTACTCTTCTGCCGGGGGTCCTGCCAACCCTATGTCCTGTGCCGTTGGAGGTCCTGCCGACTACTCTTCTGCCGGGGGTCCTGCCAACTCTATGTCCTGTGCCGTTGGGGGTTCCGCTGAGGGTCCTGCCAACTCCACGTCCAGTATCGTTGGGGGTCCTGCCGACACCTGTTCCGCTGTGGGTCTTGCCAACCCCATGTCCTGTCCCGTTGGGGGTCCCGCCGACTACTGCTCCGCCGGGGTTTCCTGCCAACACCAGATCCTGTCCTGTTGGGGGTCCCGCCGACACCAGATCCTGTCCTGTTGGGGGTCCCGCCGACACCTGCTCCGCCGGGTTTCCTGCCAACACCAGATCCTGTCTTGTTGGGGGTCCCGCCGACACCTGCTCCGCCGGATTTCCTGCCAACACCAGATCCTGTCCTGTTGGGGGTCCCGCCGACACCTGCTCCGCCGGGTTTCCTGCCTACACCATATCCTGTTCTGTTGGGGGTCCCGCCGACACCTGTCCCGCCGGGGGTCCTGCCAGCTCCATGTTCTGTTCCGTTGGGGGTCCCGCCGACACCTGTCCCGCCGGGGGTCCTGCCAACTCTGTGTCCTGTCCTGTTGGAGGTCCCGCCGACACCTGTTCTCCCGGGGGCCCTGCCAACTCTGTGTCCTGTCCTGTTGGAGGTCCCGCCGTTGGGGGTCCAGTCGACACCGGCCCTTGCTCCGTCCGGGGTCCCGTTGACACCGGTCCATGTCATGTCCAGGATCCCGTCTACGCCTGTTCCGTCGGCTCCGGTTCCTGTCCGGCCGACAAGGGGTCCTGCCCGTCCTCCGGAGCTGTCCCGTCAGCGCCTTCCTGCCCGTCCTCCGGAGCTGTCCCGTCATGGCCTTCCTGCCCGTCCTCCGGAGTTGTCCCGTCAGCACCTTCCTGCCCGGCCTCCGGAGCTGTCCCGTCAGCGCCTTCCTGCCCGTCCTCCGGAGCTGTCCCGTCAGCGTCTTCCTGCCCGTCCCGCCTTCTTGTTCGCCCTCGAGCCCGGCCCCCTGAGTGCCGCGGTCTTCGCCCTCGAGCCCGGCCTCCTGAGTTCCCCAGCCGCGGTCTTCGCCCTCGAGCCCGGCCCCCTGACTCTTCCAGCCGCTGCCTTCGCCCTCGAGCCCGGCCCCTTGAGTTCCCCAGCCGTGGTCTTCGCCCTCGAGCCCGGCCTCCTGACTCTTCCAGCCGCTGCCTTCGCTCTCATGCCCGGGCCCCTGAGTTCGCCCGCTGTGGCCTTCGCCCCTTTTTGGACTCTGCCTTGCCCCCGGGCCGTCCGCCCGGGACCCCTTCCGGGCCCGTCCTCCAGACCCCCTCCACCCACCCTTTTGGCCCTGGTTCCGACTTATGTAACAAAAGTTCATGACCTCTAATGTGCAGAACTAGAACATTATTCTCGGCTATGGCAAAAACACCTTTTTGGGGCCTCAGTTCTTTATCACTAAGTCAGGAGCCCCCCTCCTTATGCACCGCTGTAGGAAGAGGGAAGAAACTGCCTCCTCTCTTATCAGTGACACCCATAAACCATTGTTAGGCCTTACACACTCAATTTAACAAACCACTTGTGTTTTGTTTATACTGTAAATATAGAAAATCATAAAATATGAAGCATTTTCATTGTGGGTTATACAAGAATATAATTGATTATATTTTATTATAACTTTCGTTTTAATTATTCAACCTAATATGGAGATCTCAACAATGTCCACGCTGTCATGGGAAGGCTTGCTGACAGGGTGGACAATGGTACAAATAGTTTGCCATAATTTCATTATTATCCAAATACTTTTTCCATTAACTGAAATATATTGTTGAGAAAGGGACTATAGCTTTCTGAAAATGTACATTTTATATTATTTATGGAAGGCTTGCTGACAGGGTGGACAATGACAGGGTGGACATTTTTGGCTAATATTAGCATTTAATGAGCACATGGTGTTCAGTTAGCAACATGATTCAGTTAGCAAGGTGACTGTGTACTGTTTGACAAATATATTTCGAATTTCTGAAAGGTTTTAATATTAATTGACATTTCACTATGACAGAGTGGACATGTTAAGCTTGACAACATCCAACTACACACATATTATGATTACAATTTCGAAATACAAGTTAAAAAACTTACTTTGCAACTAGCCAATGTCTCAGCCTCCATTGAGGAAAGACAAAATGGTGGTAGTAATGTCACTGAAAACATCAGAAGGTTTTTTATAGGGCAGTTACTCCTTAATGACAGGGTGGACAGCAAATGTCAGGGACACATGAAAAATGTTCAATATTATTATGAAAATATAATATACATGATCAAAATGACTCGTTTTATCAAATAACTCGTGGACAATAAAACCATATCATTTTTTTTTTTAAATGTAGTATCATTTAACCACTTATTACACACACTGTATTTAGCAGAGTAGTGTGTGGGACATGCCAAAATCACGTACATCCAATGAAAAAACAAGTTATAAAATGAAGGAAACACATTTCAAGAGACTTACCATTGTACTGATATGTGTGTAAATGTTTGGCCTTTTATAATAAGACCTCAGTTTCATTATTCTGCTACATTTTCATGATAACTGAGTGATTCTGATGGGGACACCAAAGTTACTTTATAGTGATATTGACCCAAATGTTTAAAAAGCAATGTAGAGTGTAGTCTACATGTTCTTGCCAATTTTAACACAATCTGGAGATGGCATGAAGAGAGTTGGATCATGGTGTGGGTGTCTCATGCCCCTTTCACACCGGCGCTTTTCCAGCTCCGGCTCGGAGCTGGAGCTGGAAAAGCGCCGGTTTTTCCTGTTCACACCGCAGCGGCGCCGCGTCATAGCTCCGGAATGCGGTTCACTTCCAGCTCCAAAAAATTGTCGGTCTAGAGGCAAGAGCTTCGGAGCTATGACGCGGCGTCGCTTACGTCTCTTACGTCGAGGCGTGCAGGAAACCTTACTTTGACCATCCGTTCGCTGTTATTGATCATTGTGGAGAGCAGGCAGACGTTTTGTTTGTTATTATAGCAGCTATCGGATGGAATCAATACATGGGCTGCACAGGTTGTCATGTCCAACTATCACAAGTAGAATCATAATGAAAAATACGCCGGTAAAATGTGCCTGTAGAAAACGGCTTAGCAAGTAGTCAGTTTAGCTTCGGTTGCTATGCTAACATCACCCATGTTATACCAGAGAAACTTTCATAACAGCGTTGTGATGCCAAACAGCGTCAATTCAGACTGACACACATTCACTTAAGGGGAACTGGGGATATGTATCAGCTGCTTGTGTGACAGTCAGACAGTGAATACTTTAGAGCCGTGTGAGCTAACCCGGAGCTAATAGAGAATAAACTCCCGTGGAAGAGCAGCCAGCACTGCAGCGGTCGGTAAATGCCGCTGAAACACATTAATAAACAATGAACCACGGCACTCTGGAGAAAAGCATAAGGTTGGAGAAGTCGTTATTTAATTTATCTGGCTTCGTATGATTAAAAGCAACACGATCATCGACCCGACGCAGTCCCCCGTTGTTGTTGTTGTTGTGAGCTCCGTTGGGGAGAAAATCAGCGATGTAAACGGTGACGTCATGACGCAGCAGCGGCAGCTGGGCGGTGTGAACAGAGCGGGAGCTGAAAAGGGAAACCGGAGCTGAACCAGAAAAGCTCTAGCTAGGAGCTAGAAAGGGAAAAGCGCTGGTGTGAAAGCCGCAATAGAGGTTATTTAGCATGTTGCCAATCCTTGGACGAAAGACTCCAGAAATACACAGCCAGGCCTCTCAGTAGACTCAGCAGGACTAATCTGTAAACTGACAGACTAGTGTGAGCCTCCTCAATGCTGAAGAGTGCTGGAAAGGTCAGTGAAGTCATGTCAGACATGACATCATTTATTCGTATCACATTTACATATAGACACCTGAAGGCCAGCACTAGCCAATGGAAAAATAAGTTCCAATATTTCCGATATTATATTGGTCTTAACCATCATAGTTGAAGTCTGGATCAGCTTGTCAGTATCGGTTAGAAAATCATCTGTCAAAGGGAATATTCAAGTCCTATTGAATAAACATTTAAAATAAACATATATATGCCAGTTATGACAACACAAAGGCGAGGCACCTAATAAGCACAGCATACAGTAGATAGATTTTCCAGTGATTTTTTATGTAAAGACCATAAAGTTCAAAACATTGTTATGAGTTGAGATAAAATGTGGTTAATAAGGGGCTTGGCTGCCACCTTGGAATTTGAAGTGTTAAATAAAGACAATTTGAATTGTGGTTGATCCTCGCTGTCATGACGCATGCGTGCCCATCATCCTATGTATACTCCAGATAGTGAGTGAGCAGGGGAGGGAGAGGAAGGAGGGGGAGCAGCTTCAGTCTGGATCGTCCAATCAGGTTCCTGATCTGAAGACGACACAACTGGCAGAGACTCCTCGGAGCAACTAGAGAGAGAGAGTGATTACCTATTACTGTTGTGATAAAGCTCTGTTTGATTCTGAGTTATACAATGCATATGCATTGAGAATTACTGCAGTAGAAGATGTTGCAATACCTTCAAATGTCAGCAGCAGTTGTTGTGTTTTTCCAGCAGTAGGCGCTATCTCCACAGGCCGCTGATGGTTACTGTCTCTGATGTTCACATCAGCTCCATAGTCCAGTAACAGGGACACCTGATCTGCAGAGTCCTGTCTGACAGCGGCATGCAGAGGACTGTCCCCTTCTTGGCCTACATTAACATTGGCTCCTAGAGAAGACATAGACAAGGGGAGTTGAGATTTTGTATATTACATTTAGTTCAAAGTTCAAGTACAAAGACTTGTCATATGCACAGTAGCTACCGTGTAGTTATACAATGGAAATCTTAAAGGGGACCTATCAAGCAAAATGCACTTTTGTACGTCTTTTATACATGAATATGTGTCCCCGGTGTTCCAGGGAACTCACCAAGTGTCAGAAAACACAACCCTCTCTATTTTCCTCCATACCCAAATCTCTAAAAACGGGGCTGCAACGGATCTGATAAAAACTGATCCAGATTTGAACATTTCTCTGACGTCAGGACGGAGGAGCTGACCTATCAGGGGAATGAGAGGTTGCCGTGGCATGGTAACAGCATGGTAACACAACGCTCGTAACTCGGCCCCCTCCTTTGCAGGGGGGCGTGGTCAGCTGCAGCGCATGCAAAGACAGGGTGGAGGAGAGCAAAATAGAGCGAAATGAGGCATGGCTAAAATGCATGATCTGTTTGTTATTTTGAAAAAGAAAACGTATAAATATACCTTATATAGGTATGGCCCTACAATATATTATTCAAATATAGCATGATAGGTCCACTTTAAGTCCCAGGCTCCACCAACAAGGCAACATAAATATATATAATATTTTGTTTTGTTTTTTGTGTATCTTGTATGTACGGCAACCTTGATAGCCTTGAAAGGCGCCTATATATAAATACAATGTATTATTATTATTATAAGACATAAAACAATAAAACTAGAACGAAGAAAGAATGTTTCTGTTCTTGATTGCATTTTTTGTTAAACATTACGTACTGAAAATCCCTTAACCAAGCCACCTCCTAAAGGGAAAAGAAAATGGCAATACTAAGGCCTGTGGCAAGGGTTCACCTTTAAGCATTGCTCAGTTTTAACGGCTTACAATCCAAAATTGTTCTGAACTGCAGACCGAGAGGAATCTCTGAGGTAATGTGGAACAACTATTATCAGAGATATATCCTGGGATGATTTTTGGCCCGGAATTAAGAGCACCTGGTAACCGTTTCTATGAAAGCCACATCTAAAGTTCATTCATTATAATTAAAAGTTTATTTTTAGTTCTCAGGATTGTGAGAAACAGCATTTAGATCTCCCTGTCTGTATCTCACACACAGAAGATTGACAATACATTGACTGTCTATATGGACATTCACAGTGAATTATAATGCATTTATAATGCTTAATGACTACACTCACGAAAACACATAATGCTTTATGCTGCACTATATTAATAGTCCTGAAAAAATATTTATATGAATTATAACAGATGATACATGTCTTATGAATGCTCTTGCCTAGTTATAAACTAGTGGTTGGCTGATGGGCTTATAATACAATATGACCACATCTCCTAAACACCCAAATAACCATCTGTAGTAAGAACTCATAGCAGATGTAACTTAAAGTGAATGCTATATTGATGCATCCATTATATCCTAACATTTCTTTGTTTGTGGCTAGTAAAGTGCAATGCATTTTCATTCATATGAATCACAATGATGCAGCATAGATTATTTGAAATGAAAAGGCAGAATGTTGACCCACCGCTCTGCAGCAGAACCTTTGAGCAGGCTGTGTGTCCGTGCAGACAGCTGATGTAGAGAGGAGAGCCCAGGTGGGACCTCTCATAGTCTGGATCTGCTCCGTGAGACAGCAGGGACTCTACACACGTGGTGTTACCTACACACACACACACACACACACACACACACACACACACACACACACACACACACACACACACACACACACACACACACACACACACAGTTTATTTTATTTAGCAATATCCTTGCACTCTCCAGGTTTCACTAGGTCATGTGTAGTTATATAAGAAGTATATATATATATATATATATAGCTTACATCAGAAGTAAGGGTTGGAAAAAGTGTGCCTGTGACATAATGGCGCATTTCCACTACAGCACGGAGCGCGGTTTAAGCGTGCCGTGCCAAACCCGGCCTGTTTTTTGTTGCGTTTCCACTAGGGGTAGTTCCGGCTAACGGGTACTGTTTCACAGTTTTTCTGGCTCTCCAAAATCCAGGTTCTTTCCGGGCCAACAACCGGGCTGAATATGCTAAACTAGTGAGAGAATCGCTGGCAAGGGGGCTACAACTACAACAAAATGAACATATTTTACCGTGATTGAATTGTAATACACGTTTCAAAATGATGCCGAAGTAACAACATACTGATACCGGTTAGTAAAAACCATGAATTAATGCTTTGACAAGTCTGCAGACAGACGGCAGGCGAAAAACCTTTTAAAATGCGTGTTTTCTAAATGGAGATTGGCTAAGCTAACGCAGTATATGCTCCGACCGTCCACACTCACAACAACGGCCTATACAGACATAAATAAAGCAGCGACTGTATTCACCATGACACAGGCAGTCTGTGGTTTGTACTTGTTTCACTTTTGTCTAGTTTCTGAACAGATATGAGGAGCTGTGAGCTCTGAGTGCTAACAGCTAACGGCTGATGTTGGTTTTCTGTGGTTCGCATTGAAGATGACGTCACGGCTCCGCCTACACTGCGTTACTATAGTTACTGCCTCAGCTACTAAACTGTAATGGAAACGCAGCATAAAGTGAGCCTGGCCTACCAAGGCCTAACTATACCGTACTAAGCCGTGCGAGGCCCTGCAGTGGACTGCAGTTTTGTAACCTCAAGTTTGCCATCTGGTTTTGTTTGGAACCAGAAGTGACAGAGACGGTGGAGCAAAGTACGACTGAACGCTTAACGACAATTTTACGAGATATTAAAATGTACAATTAACTTTCATAAAACATGTAAAAAACATTCAAAGTGACCTGTCAATCACCAGTGCCGCTTAAAGCATACCCTGCTTAATCTATTATACTCTAACTGGGCCATATATGACTAAATTAACGAATGAATCATGAATCAAGAATCATGCTGTTTTGAAAGATATTTGGCACTGGGTTTGAGATCTTAAATGCATCAGGAAGATAAAGAAAGAAGGTATAGACTTTTATACAATCAGACTACAACAAGGGGAGTCGCCTTGTTGCAGCCGCTGATCTGTTTTACTTGGAAACATTTCCACCATGCTCAAGTGAGATGAGTCATTGGGACAAAATTCCAACAAAATCTTGTTTGTTGGGATATTGTGCATTATAGATGCCTGGGCACACACACTGATCAAACTGACTACAGATGACGCTGGTTCTGAGCTGTTACATCAGACTGCACACAAGGGTTGTGTTCTGTGTATTTACCTCTCTTGCAGGCTTCATGCAGAGCAGAGGGGAAGTGTGTGTGTGATGTCTGTGTGTGCGCTCCATTCTGCAGCAGTAGTTCCATACAACCAACACTCCCTGAGACACAACAGTTGTACAGAGGTGTGACACCATCAATGGTAGCAGCATTTACCTAGACACACACACAAAGGAGTGAGCGATACAATAGCAGCTGTTAAGGGATACATGGACACAGGGTGACATATAACAATGGTGGTGATAAGAAGAATACTTACATTAGCGTTAGCATTTATTAATGCTCGGACACAGGCTACATTTCCTGAGAGACAGGCTTCATGAAGAGGGGTCACATGATCGATGGTGACAATGTTGGCGTGATATCCCTAAAATATCACAACACAAAGCGTAATGATTTAAGGTGTTTATGGATAACAATGAATCAGTCTTTCTATTTGACTTGTTTATCTGATTTGAATTCATTCTGAGTGAATGATAGTGAAAGGATTATTGGCATATTTCCAGGACATGTTTTGTCAAACTTCATAATTTGATTCTGCTACTTAAAGAACACCAATGACAGAAAGGATGAATACATGAGGCAAGACAATTTAATGTATTCAGGACATCTTCTAAAGATTGCTGGCAAATGTTCAAGCTTCATGTTGTATAAATGTATTTAGGAACTGCTCCAGAAATGAAAACCTGATTGTGTACTACAGATGTGACACAACACTCCTAAAAAAACAAAGTGTTTTAAGATGGCAGCTGAACTTTTAAATGTGTTTTCAGGATTGAATGCTATTGTTTTCAGCTAGTGGGCTCAAGGTACGATTATAGACTGATTATATAAATGAATACATACAAAGTGTCCAGTAGAACAAATTACATTTTCAGAATCAAAAGCATTTTAAATAGTCTACTTACAAATTAAAGATTAAATAAGAATATATTGTTATTGAAAAGGTTAGAAGTCAAATGAGCTACAAACACATGATAAACAGAGAGCGATCTGATCACCATAGGGAGGAGATATTTGCACTCCATAGTGGTGATAATGCAGCTGTGGGAATGTTATTCAATATCTCTGTTGCTCTTCTTCAAATCAGGAAGCCAAGAAACAAGATCAACGATTTAGGTTTCATTCTTCAAACCTGACTTTGTGTTGGTATGCATCAGAAACCATAATAAAAACCTTTTTTTTTATTATGTTTTTTTTATTATAGTGACTGGATGTACAGGTAATTGTCCCTTCTTTTTTTTAGCACTGCTGCAACATTTCTTTAATGATCTGAAGACTTCAGATATGACCATTGTTTGCATCATTACGAGTGTTTTAGCCATTTTGTGTTTTATATTTAGTCTTTCCCCAAATTTCAAGTAAACATCCTGTTTTACCTGCAGATTACAACATGTAACACTTCAAACAGGGTTATAAAGAAGAAGTTTGTGAATGTTTTAGCGTGTGTGTGTGTGTGTGTGTGTGTGTGTGTGTGTGGACTTTGCCTGGGCCAGCAGAGTGCGCAGGGCTAGCAGTCGACCCTGAGAAGCTGCTTCATGGAGAGGGGAGCGATCTGCCCAGGACCCTGGACACAAAACACGCACGCACGCACACACACACACACACACACACACACACACACACACACACACACACACACACACACACACACACACACACACACACACACACACACACACACACACACACACACACACACACACACACACACACACACACACACACACACACACACACACACACACACACACACATACATATAGACAAGGAAACAATGATACATTATAGCAACTTAAAAACTTAACCATGTATAAGATTTGAACATTTAGGATTTTGCCGACTTCAAGTAATATATGTTGAAACATTAATACATGTATATAATACAGCCAAGTATGCAGCATTTTACTGTACATTGATTTTGAACATTTACTGTCTGTCTCATACATATTATGCTGAAGAACGACAGCAAAACCTGGGCCGTTTTCTCAGTGATTCCCAGAAATCATATTTTCCAACTATTTTCTTTAAATAGGACTGTATGGTCTACACACTGACTTAGTCGGAGGCACCAGGATGAGTTCAATTGTTCACAAAAGTTCACTGCTTCAGAGCAAACACTCTTATCAAGTTAAATATACATCCAATTTCTTTTTCATTTAAACAAAATATGCAAAGCCAAATCATTTAAACTTGTACAAAGCAGTATCTTTATTTTATATTTACTGACATTAATTGCAGTTGTAGCCACACTCATCTTGAATGAAAAGGAAAGATCTGCTGTAGCAGTACTTCAGCATGGCTGGCTGTGGTTATATTTAGTGATAGTGAGCTCTTTCTCAACAGCTGTGGTATCAATAACTGCACCGGTCTTGCGCAACATACCCATATCTCCGTCTCCCCATGGCACATCCAACCACCGCTAGATATACAGTGTACTGTAACACATTTATATCTATATCTTAAAGGTCCCCTATTATCCTGTTTTTCATCAATATATTAGGTCTTAATATATACAAAACATGTCTCTGAAGTGTTTGGCTCCAAACACCAAACAGATCATTGCAGCATTACCCATAACCCCCTCTGTTTCAGCCCTGTTTCAAAAGTGCTGATTCTCTGTCTGTTACTTCAGATGAAAATAAGGAGCCCCTCCCCACGCCCCTCTGAGAGAGATTTGGTTACAAATAACTCAATGGTGCTCTAGGAGGAGATTCAGGTGATAAGGTGGGGGGGGGGGTTACCTTGGTTGCTGATTGGATAATGGTTACACAAGACAAAACATCGTCATGACATCATCAAGTGGCCAAAATCTGATCAGCTCATTTTCAGACAGGTTTTTATAGAAATGGATCAGGACAAAAAGAGAAAGAATCTTTGTTCCTGAAACTTTCAGAGTCTCTTTCCACAGAGGGGACACATGTTGATGTAGAAGAGACATGAAGAAGAGGGGACACATGTTGATGAAGAAGAGACATGAAGAAGAGGGGACACATGTTGATGTAGAAGAGACATGGAGAAGAGGGGACACATGTTGATGTAGAAGAGACATGAAGAAGAGGGGACACATGTTGATGTAGAAGAGACATGAAGAAGAGGGGGACACATGTTGATGTAGAAGAGACATGAAGAAGAGGGGACACATGTTGATGTAGAAGAGACATGGAGAAGAGGGGACACATGTTGATGTAGAAGAGACATGAAGAAGAGGGGACACATGTTGATGTAGAAGAGACATGAAGAAGAGGGGACACATGTTGATGAAGAAGAGACATGAAGAAGAGGGGACACATGGTGATGTAGAAGAGACATGAAGAAGAGGGGACACATGTTGATGAAGAAGAGACATGAAGAAGAGGGGACACATGTTGATGTAGAAGAGACATGAGGAAGAGGGGACACATGTTGATGTAGAAGAGACATGAAGAAGAGGGGACACATGTTGATGAAGAAGAGACATGAAGAAGAGGGGACACATGTTGATGTAGAAGAGACATGAAGAAGAGGGGACACATGTTGATGTAGAAGAGACATGAAGAAGAGGGGACACATGTGATGAAGAAGAGACATGAAGAAGAGGGGACACGTGTTGATGTAGAAGAGACATGAAGAAGAGGGGACACGTGTTGATGTAGAAGAGACATGAAGAAGAGGGGACACGTGTTGATGTAGAAGAGACATGAAGAAGAGGGGACACATGTTGATGTAGAAGAGACATGAAGAAGAGGGGACACATGTTGATGTAGAAGAGACATGAAGAAGAGGGGACACATGTTGATGTGGAAGAGACATGAAGAAGAGGGGACACATGTTGATGTAGAAGAGACATGAAGAAGAGGGGACACATGTTGATGTAGAAGAGACATGAAGAAGAGGGGACACGTGTTGATGTAGAAGAGACATGAAGAAGAGGGGACACATGTTGATGTAAAAGAGACATGAAGAAGAGGGGACACATGTTGATGTAGAAGAGACATGAAGAAGAGGGGACACATGTTGATGTAGAAGAGACATGAAGAAGAGGGGACACATGTTGATGTAGAAGAGACATGAAGAAGAGGGGACACATGTTGATGTAGAAGAGACATGAAGAAGTGGATTTTGCTTAATAGGTGATCTTTAAATTATGCAAGTGAAAGGACCACGACACTTTCTGTTTGACTGTATGAAGTCAGTCTGCCTGGAGGATCCCCTTACTGGCTGCACAGAACACTGACAGACTGCTTCACATACTAAGAATATCTCTTATTGGCTCACTGAATAAGTAGCTGGATAACTGACTGGCTGTTGCTCCACATCAGACTGCTCTGTTTTGTTCACATTATATATGCTTTCGTTAGGCAATATTATAAGGAATCACTCTGTACATTTTCATTGTTATGCAGATGATACTCAATTATATTTATCTATCAAGCCTGATGAAAGCAATCATCTAAATAAAATTCAAGACTGCCTGAAGGACTTTAAACTTGGACGACCTTACATTTGTTGATGTTAAACACGGCCAAAACTGAAGTTATTGTACTCGGCCCAAAGAATCTACAAAACGAACTATCTAAAGATATACTAACTATGGATGGCATTAATTTGGCCTCCAGTGAGACTGTAAGGAATCTTGGTGATATATTTGATCAGGATTTATCCTTTAAAGGGCCCATGTCATGGCCATTTCCACTGATCATAATTACATTGTTGAGGTATACTAAAATAGATTTATACTGTGCAATTTTCCAAACTCACATTGGTTTCGCATACAGCATCTCTGTCAAGCATGTGTATTCAGCAGTATTCACTTTCTCCACTAAACGACTCGTTGGAGCTCTTGCCCCCCCCTCCCTGTGAGCCGAGTGTGCTCCGATTGGTCAGCTCGGCCACTCGTTCTGATTAGTCAACCACCAGAGAGGCTGCGCCCATGTCTAACAGTGCTTTTCCCGGCTGCTCTCAGCGTAACATCAGTCTTATCATGGCGTCGGCACAGCCGTATATTTTATATACATATATATTTTTAACTGTTGTTATAGAAGAGTGTGACGGCCCCAGGGCCTTTGTCTTACGATGGGGTGGAGCTGAAGAGGCTAATCAGCACGATCATGGACACCTCCGGACACTACGGCCCCAGTCTCTCTCCAAAGCGGCTGCAGGAAGACTAACTCTGCGATCCTCTCAACCACCTATCTCTGCATTTATCACAATAAATGTGCCGTGGTTTTGTAAACTCGTGTATGTCTCTTTGTCTTTGTGGCCTACGAGCCGCTCATAACAAAGAGTAAGTTATTTTTACCCGTTATAAACTACTACTGTTTGATGAGAAATCAAATCATGGTTTGCTATATATGAATTCAGGGAAGAAAGGATAGGCCTACTAAGTATTTCCATTAAACTTTATTTTTAGAAATGTACAAAATGAACATAAATATACATATATACACGGTATATCATCCATTCCTCCTCCTTGCATCTTGCCTGCGCACAGTCGGTGCGGTGCCTTTTAGCACGAGGCCTCAGTAGTAGTAGAAGTGCCTTTTAGCACGTCATGGATTGTCCGCCAGGATCTGGCTGGACGAAATCAAATGCAAATCACAAAATATTAGAGAAACTTAGTTGTTTTAGATTCGTTAGTAGTAGTTGTGTAATGAACAGCTTGCCTGCTAATATGCTAACCTAGCTTTGTTTACCTTGGTAGCTAACACGATATGAACGTTAGCTTGGAGGAAAGGCAACTATAATGCAGTGTAATAAAACTACTATGAACAAAAGCTAGTGGTTCATATTAGGCTAGCAATAACGTGTTTATAATTGCAATCGTATACGGGTATTCTGCTACCATACAATGTAACTTGCATGAATACATTGTTTTGCGCTAGCATACAGCTAGCCTCGTTAGCTACATGCAGTATATGTACGGTCACAATGTACGGTAAATCACAGTACAGTATACTGTATGAGTATTTTGTGTGTGAATGCAGACATTCTCCTGCTATGAGATACATGTATGCAAGGCCATCTGCTGATATTAGAGTTGATATATGGAAACGCTAGCAACTTAGTTAGCACAGTTAGCACTGTGTCAATGGCTTAGCAGTCCAACACAGTTTACACATTTAAACAGTCTTGTTTGATAAATACACAAATAACAATGCAAACTTACAGGTTGTATACCCAGATCTTCCCCTGCTCCAAACGGTCCAAACAAGCTGTGCATATCCGGCCTCAAACTGGGCAATGTTTTGGAAGCTTTCGTCTGTGAAATGCCGGTTCTTCGAACCTCTGGAGGAGGAACACGCTGCTGCTGGTGTGGCCATAGCTCTTCGGGATTGGTCCATTTCGTTCCGGGTACCGCATGACATCATGCGGTACCCGGAAGAATCAAATGGGCAGTGACGTATCTCCAACGAGGCGTTTTGGGGAGGTATTTTCTGTGTTAGAGTTTTACTCGCTACAGGGTGTACTTTGAGGGTTTTGACTCTGCACACCGTTTACATGCATAAAAACCTTCATAACACACAAGGGGACGGGTAATAACCGGAAAAGCATGACATGGGAGCTTTAACGCCCACATAAAATTAA